CAGAGGATGAACCCAGGTGTTCAGCTTCTGTTTGACCCACAAAATGGGCTTATTATTTCTTAGAAGTGAAGAAAAGCCTAAAAATAGAGATCTTGCAGAAATAACAGAGAGTTCTACACTTATCTGTATATAATTTTTTTAATCAATGTCTCTTTTTTAAAAGAGAGAGAGAGAGAGAGAATTTTAATATTTATTTTTTTGTTTTCAGCAGACACAACATCTTTGTTTGTATGTGGTGCTGAGGCTCCAACCCGGGCTGCACGCATGCCAGGTGAGCGCGCTACCACTTGAGCCACATCCCCAGCCCCATAATCAATGCCTCTTGATTTTACAAAATAGAAAAACTTATTGAATATGTACAAATAGGTAGTGTTTGACTCAGCTTTTTCACTGCTAAATGACCCAACCAGAACAATTCTAGAAAAAGAAGAATTTATTTGAGGGCTCACGATTTCAGAGGTCTTAGTCATAGAAGGCAGGCTCCATTCCTCGGGGCTCAAGGTAAGGCTGAACATCATAGTGGAATAGTGTGGCAGAGGGAAACAGTTCACATCATGGTGATCTAGAAGCAGAGAGAGATTCCACTCTCCAGATTCAGATGTATACTCCAAAGCCACGCCCTAATTCCCACCACCTCCAGCCATATCCTACCACTTCAGTCACTAGTCAGTTAATCCCTATCAGGGGATTAATTCACTGATTAGAAGGTGAAAGCTATATTTGGTCATTTCTCCTCCCACCTTCTTGCATTGTCTCACACATGTGCTTTTGGGGGACACCTTACATGCAAACCATACCAGGTCGATATGGGTGTGTTTTACTCAGAAGAATGCTCCAAATTGAGGGTGTTCAGATTGAGTGTGGCAACAGCAAGTAACATATAATTCTGAATAACATTTCTTGAAGGATCTCCTCCACTTCTTAAATCTCCACCAAGACTAATTTAGAAATTGGTTTAATGTACCATTCTTTGCACTTATAGGGCAAAGACAGGGAATAAACACTAATGAATGCTACAGAGTAAAAATATAGGAGTGCCATGGAAACAGTGTTTTCAAAAAATGAATTGTGTGCTTATGTTTTTTGTCTTTCAGAGCCCCCCCCCCCCAATTTTTTTAAAGCAAAGACTTCTCACAGCATCTATCCATCTGGGAAGAAAGTATGATATTACTGAAAGATGATGAGAAAAAATCAGCATCTGTCATTCAAAACAGGAACACCAGCCAAGACTACTGCCTTAAGACACTTTTCAGAATTCCCAAATTTCTCTGCACTGCCATATCCACCATCTAATTCTACCATTAAATTTTAAAATTACCGTTTCTCACTTGGAAAACAAGAACATCTGGTCTTCTACTGAGATCATTGTAAAGGACTTGCTGGGATGATCATTTGATGGAGCTGACCCACCAACTACTAACTTTGCAAATAAATTTTTAACAAAACCTCTTGCACTTCTCAATTTTACTCCCAACTCCTGTGGCATACTAGGTGTCATAATTTCTCATCCCCATTTGGTTTTGTGGATTGAGCTGCTTTCTATTTTTTCTTCCACTAACCTAGGAACTCAGATTTATGAAGTTTGTTGAGACAGTTCTCACTTTTTCTCTGCTATTATCCTTTCTACTACTCAGTTTGCTTCAGAATACAATCCATACAATAAATGCATGAATCTTAGGTCTTCAGTGAGTATCCAAAATGAGTACAATCATGCAGTCATCACCCAAAAATGATGTAGGATGATTCAGCAACCACCCTATAATATTCTCTCCTCCTTGGACTTCCTAGTCAGTCCCCACTCCCCATTAGAAGCAACCACTGGCTAGCTTCTATGACTGCAGATCAGTTTGGCCAGTTCTTGAAAGGAATATAAATAGAATCATAATCTTTAAAATATATATTTAGTTGTCAATGAATCTTTATTTATTTATATGTGGTGCTGAGAATTGAACCCAGTGCCTCACACGTGCCAAACAAGCGCTCAACTACCGAGCCACAACCTGAGCCCTAGAATCATAATCTTGTTTTCTCTTGGAAATGACTTTTTTAGCCCAACCTCGTGTTTCTGACATCTATTTATTATAGCATGAACCATGGTTCATTCCTATAGATTGATAAGCCATATTTCTTTATCGTTTTTTTAAATTTTTTACTGGTTCTTTTTAATTATACATAATAGAATTCATTTTGACATAAGTGCAAGAAATATAATTTGTTCTAATTCTGTCCCCAGTACTTCCTCTTCCTGTCCCCTCGTCCCTCCCCTGTTTCCTTCTCTAATCTTTCTGCTATTTACTAATTTTTTAAAATTAGTGTCTTGTGGATTTACAATGATGGTGACATTCATTGTGGTATATTCAAACATGTACATAGAAAAATTAGGTCAAAATCATTTCCTTTCCCTATCTCATCTTTCCTTTCTTCCCTTTATTACCCTTTGCCTACTCCACTGATGTTTCTTCTGTTTTTATTATTTTGGATTAGCTTCCATTTCTTAGAGAAAACATTTCACCCTTGATTTGGGGGGATTGGCTTATTTCACTTAGCATGATAGCCGCCAGTTCTATCCATTTTCCAGTACATACATAAAGTCATTCTTCTTTATATCTGAGTAGTACTTCATTGTGTATATATACCACCTTTTCTTTATCCATTCATCTAATGAAGAATATTTCAATAAATTCTTATTTTTCCCATCCATCTGTTCAGAGACTTTTGAATTGTTCACAGAATTTGAATTGATTTTCTGAATTTGGTAAATACCTATAGGAGCATATTTTCTAGGGTTACATGTGTGCTTAGGTATATAAGAAATTGCCAGTTTTCCAAAGAGGTTGTGGGACTGTCAATTGCCACAAGCTTGTGACACACATGTCGATTACCCCAAATATGGTATTGTTCCTCTCAGAGAGCTACTTCCACTAAATCTAGAGGTAGATCTTGAAATGATTTGTCAAGCCTAGAGCACAAAACTTGCCTCATATCCTTGTGACTTTTAGTATTCAGAGGCATCTGTTTTTGCCAGGAGTTACAACAAAAATTCATGAATTGGAAGCAGAGATTATCATCTGGCATTTTCTAATTCCTCACATCCCTGAACAACCTTGCAATGAAGGATTATAATGTCAGCAGGGGGCACAGACCTTCACTTTCTCAATCAAGACCTAGAGTGGTGTTCTAGTTTCTTGCCTAGGAGCACACTTCAAGAGCTCAGCACCGGGGGCATTTATTTAGAAGAGCCCTTGGGGTACACATAGCCAGGGGAAAGGGAAGGGACTGAGGCAGGGTTGAGCAGAGGGAAAAGTTGAGCTCAGGTTCAGGCTCAAAGACAGTCTAAGCCAATCATGCAAGGAACTCTGGAGCTGAACTGGCCCTTCAGAGTTGGCCCAGGTGGAGCAGGGTGGCCAAACTTTCATGCATCAGCATGGAGCAGTCATTTGACATGGGCTTCCCTAAGAAGAGCCATGGCCTTGGGTGAGGCATCTCTCCACAGCTGTAGGAACTGGGAGAGGAAACCTGTGTCCGTGCACAGCAGGGGCAATAAAACTTCATCGGAAGGAATAAAAGCCTCCATCTCTCAGTCCTTACCAGATACAAATCCAATCGTTTCTCATGTGAGATCTACTGTGGGCCCAGCAGCCCTCTAGGGCTGCTTCCTTTCAAGGAAATACAGTGAGCTTCAATCTTGTGGTCCCGCCATCTCAATATTGACTTTCTGTTTTTTTGGAAAACTGTCAATTTCTTATAAACCTAAGCACACATGAAACCCTAGAAAATATGCTCCTATAGGTCAGGCATGACACTCCCATTTTCCTCTGTTCCTGGAGTTCCTGAGTTCAGTCTCTCAGCCTGGTTTTCCATCTCTTGTAACATTAGAAAAGACAGAATTGCTCACCTGGATGAGCTAGGGATGAAGATATGGGCTTTTACTGCCTTTACTCAGGACCTCAAACATGTAACAACTTTTTATAACTCTTGTCTTCAATTTTACCTGGTACTTCCAATTCCACAGCCTTACTGAAATTCTGTGGGGAGGAGTGAGGATGCCTTTACTGAGTAGAGTCGGGCTTGCTTCTCTGAAATTTTTTTTTCTCTATCAAAACTAGCACTTTCAACTTCAAAAATACATTCTGCTTTTGTCCACTGTGTGCATTTTCAATACTACCAATAAAGTCTAAGTTAGCATTACTCTCACTTGTATTATCTAGATGGTCTAGCTGCTATTCCAGCCCCACATTTTTCACAAGACTAAGCTGATTATTGAAATTTGGAAATCACATCATGTCAACTGCTGTTTTCAACTTCTAATGCCTTCTCCTTTCAAGTTGCGAAAGAATCAAACACTTACCATGAGATAAGGCCCACATACTCTGGCCCTGCCTCTTCTTCCTTTCTATGCCCCAAACACAAATGAGCTTCCTCTCTGTTCCTAAGAAAACAGCATCACCCAGCTCCACATTAGGTCTATTGCATTTGTTGGTCTGTGAAAGTGGAAAATGCTGCTCTGGACCTTCCCTTTTTCTCATTTGGGCCTCAAAAATGTCTTCTGCTCTGAGAAGCTCTCCCTGACCAGGGGCTCATAACACATAATAGTAACTGAAATTGTCTCATTTATTGATTTGTGTACTTTTTTATTGGGCTGAATAAGGGAAATGTGAAATATACTTATACTACTGTCATGTATAACTAATTAGGACAACATTTTTAAAAATAATAAAAGCTTTCAAAAGTCAGTAGAAACTTGAAGAGAACACAGTAAAGTGATAGAACGTTTTTCCTATGCTTGATCATCTCTCCCAGCAACTTAACTTCCATTGCCCTGCACATCATCCTCAAACATGGTTGCAAACAAAAAACTCTCAAAAAGATAGCCAGAATTCAGTGTGCATCCCCAAACCCACTCACCATCACCACACAATGTAACTAGCCTACAAAAAAAAAAAATGTTTTGAAACAATTAAGAAACATACATAAAAGAATATACTCCACTACCTGCCCCCATTGTTTGAAACTATAGTATTAGAAATAAGGTCAAATTTTAACATTTTGGTTCCATTACCTTTAATATACTTGTGAACAAATACTGGGTGAGAATACATTTTAAATACATCAAAATTTTAAAAGGCTTATCACCTTCTTTTCAGTGCTCTCTATTAACCTAATTGGTCAAAAGTGCCTCATTTTCCAAGAAAGGTAAGGGTGAGTGGGGAAAGGGAAGAGAACTGAAGGAGAACCAGAGCTCTGGATTCTTCACAATTGCATCATCATCCACAATGGGTTTGGAGGATGAGAGATTAGGGAAAATCAGGTTTCAGCAACCTCAGTGGAACCTAGTTCTCAAAGACACCAGAGGTATCCAGTGGATGATACCTAAGCTGGAGATCCAGAAGTTGCCAGAGTCCAAGATCAGTGAGGAAGAACAAAGTATGCCAAATTTTATAACTATCAGGGACTCAGCAGTGCAGGAGGGGCTCCCTCCCGTCATGACCAGTGTTCCCCAAACTCATTCAAAGTTCTAAGATGTACATTTGACCTGTCTCAGCAAACTTCCATGCAGCAGAGCACTAGGCTATAAAGGCAGTCTCAGGGCTTAGGGGTCAGAGCAGGGTGCTGCAGCCCAGGGCTTAGAGGTTCAGGATTGATCATCAAATCTCCATGAGCAGTTTTGAGCCGACGCTCTGGGTCCAGAGCTATGCTGGCTGTGCCAGCAGACAGGCGTCTCTTGGCTGGAACCTGAGAAGTCTGTTCCTGAACCCTTAGTTCCCTAGGACGACGACCACGACCACGTCTGCCAGTCAGAACTGACGGATGCAGGGTCGGTGGCGGGACTGTTTCAGGCCCCTGGGAGCTGTGGGCTGTGGCCCTGGGCTGAACTGCAGCACTTCTGGCTGCCGATGGTAAGTTGGGCATCGGGCACACCTGAGCACTGCAGTGGGTCTCACCAGTGGCGGACTCAGGCAGAGCAGATTGTGAGGCCTGGCGGAGTGGGAGATGTTTCAGGCTGGGGGAAGCTTTCCTACGTGAAAGGACGTCCCTCCAGGTGGTCAACGCCTGTCTACCAGGCGCTGTAGGCTCAGTGTGGTCCACTACCGCCCTGTCTTGCCCGCATTTCCACAGCTCATAGCGCTCGGGTTGCAGGATGCGCACAAAGGCGTCCATGGAGAAGCTGACCCTGGCCTCCCCACAGCTGCACTGAGACGCCACTTTGCCATAATCAATCCACCTCGGAGTGGCGAAATTGATGGCTTCCGCACAGTTGAAGCCATGGTTGAAGCCAGCATGGTAGCCATAGGGAAATGTCACCATGAACTCACCAGCCTCCTGAGTCACGCGATTGAAGGGAATGCCATTCTCCTTGAGGACTGTGGGCGAGATGAGGGCCACCTTGTGTCTTAGGAAGGCCTCACAGCCCTGGGAACTGCCCGGGAAAAGGTCCCTGGCCAGGCGCTCCAGGCGCTGCCCGTGTTCAGGGGGCACCGCGTACCACGTTTTGGGCTCCCCAAAGTGCAAGTAGTTGATGCTGTAAAGGTCCATGTCCTCCGTGTGCCACGCAAAAGTGGTCTTCCACATGCCAAAGTACAGGTAGGGCCTGTTGACACCCTCAATGACAACTCCACATTCCTGTTCCAACAGGTCCTGAATGGTTCCCAAGTGCCCCAGGTTCCACTCTTTAGTGCTTTCATCAAATAAGGAGCCACTGATGTCAGCACCATAAATTGGTGAGTCATAAAGGCGGTTCTTCCAGTACTTTCTCTCCAGATCTTCAAAATTCAGGTGTGGGGGAGTTCTATACTTTTCGCTGTTTGCCAGGAGGTGATACTCTCCCACTGTCATGGCTTTCTTCTTTTTGTGGTATTGAGTGAACATACCTGCCTTCCCAGAGACCACCTGCTGCAGGGGAGTGGCTATTAAGATGTCACTGACATCATCATAGGACTGCCTGGCTCTCCATTCCTTGGGTGGAATTACCTTGGCCAGGCCAGCTCTGTGTGCCCCTTGGGATTCCATGTAAGCAATATACTTATCAAAATCATTAAACTCTTCTTTGGTTGGATGAAATATCATTATGCTACAGTTTGGATTCTGAGCACAGTTGGGCTTAGACTTCATAGTTTTGATTTAATAAGCAGCAAAATCCCAATATTTAGATATGTTCTAAATAGATGAGGTGGCAGAAAAATGCTACTTTTTAATAGCTGTACTATGAGGCTGCAAGATCCATCAGACAACTATTTTTCAAATGAGATGATAAGTCTTTCTTAGGCTTTTTTGTTGACCAAGAGGACTGCACTGGAGACAATTTAGCTTTATCCAGATAATGATGGTGGCTTAGTCAGCAGTCTATTATTCTCCTCAGTTGGTGCGTGGTTCTGTCCTCTTGAGGTCTTCCAAATTACCAAGGCTTGGGTGAGTGACTCAAATGTAGCAGTGTGTCTTTAGGGCAGTGTATAAAACAAAATCTGAAGGAAAGAATACAGAAATATTGAAAATTAATATGTAAAAAAATATTAGCAAACTACAAATTAAACACCATAATGGAATATTACCATTACAGAGAGGCTAAAATTTTATAATAATATTGTCAATACAGTGATGATGTCAATGTGGAAGAAAACGCTAGGAATTCTCATACCCTACTACTAGAGGGAATATGAAACACTACAATCATTTTAGAAAACTATTTGGACAGTGACTTCTAAAATAGAACATGTGCATTTTTTATAATTCAAGTGTTATACATGCTCAGGAAATGTGTAAGTCTCTGCACTGAAACTCACATCTGAGAATGTTCATAACAACGTACTTCTAGTACCAAATACTGTAAACAACAAAAATGTCACCAACAGAATGGATAAGTGTAGTATATTATTCCTATAATGGAATACCATATAACAATGAAGACAAAAACTACAGAAATAGATTTCATAAAGATAATATTGAGCAAAATGGTTAAATTCAAGAGAATATCTATTACATGATCTCATTTACATAAAGGTCAAAGGAGACAAAGTAATCTATGCTCAAGGTAAAAATAATGGTTACATTTGGGAAAAAGAGAGGTTGCTGTGAGTTGGGGCTAATGGAGTCTCTAAAGTAATGTTAATATGCTCTGAACCAGGGTGCTGCATATATACCCATCAGAATAGCTAATTTGTAATGCAGTAGAATGAATCCTATGTTCATATATGAATACATGACCAATGTAACTCCATATTATATGCAACCACAAGAATGGGAAGTTATATTCCATATATGTATGTCAAAATACTTTCTACTGTCATGTATAACTAAAAAGAACCAAAAAAATTGTGATAACTCATCAAACTATTACTATTTCCACAAACTTCAATATGTATTTAAAATAGAGTTTAGATCAAAAACCACTAAAGACAACTAAGAAGTATATTTCATTATATTTAAATGGAAAAAAATGACTGAAAATAAATGAACAAAACAATCTATTGAAAAGGCTAGAAAATTAGAATTTGAAGGAAAAAGGAGTGATAGTAAAGAAATAACCACAAATAACAATCATTTGTTTCCATAACTCATATTGTGTGGCTTTGTGGCATTTGTCCCCCAAGTCTTACACAAGTGATAGCAACCCGACACAAACCAATCTAGCACAACAGAATTATTCCCCATAGAGGAGGGTCATCCAAAAGATATGAGAAAAGCAAATAGTGCATATTCAGTCAGAATTAGGGTTTTTCCTGGCAACTATAATACAGAGAGAGGAGGACATGGATGTTGGTGGAAGGATGGGTGACCAAGAGAATGATTATAATGATGGACTATTAAGTCTATTCTGGATTTAAAAAAAAGGAAATGAGAACATGAACCCCGGGATCCAGTTTGGCTTCTCTCCTGTTTACAATCATCACAACTCAAGCTAGACTTAAAGGGTCTATATGTATCATGTGATAATGTCCCCATCATACCCTAATTTTTAATTTAAAAAAATTATTCTAAAATAATATTATCATATTTTTTGGAATATATAATCAAACGTTTCAGAATATATAACCAACTAGTTCATTCTATTTGAATACTTGCTCTAAAAACAAGAAAAGAGGAATGTGAAATAATTTAGGAGGAGAGTTCAATATCAGAAACTTAAATACCATGCTAAGGGGCTTTCCTCCAAGAAATAACAAATACAAAGTATAGTATCACACAAGCTCCCATTTTGTATTGAATATACTATTAAAATAAGCTTTGAATATTTGTCTTTGTTTTATACATTTGTTTATAATTACGTTATTTCTACATTTGTAAGGATTTTAAGAAGAATGAGGCTATGTTTCCTTAAATGTATAGTCTTCAGATATTGCACATCAAAAGGAAATACTCTGGTTTTCCTGAGTAATTCTGTGCTCACAACAAAACTGCTCAGAATTTGCCAGGAAAAATGACAGAGTAAGCCTTCTGTACTCTAGCCAGATGTGTCACTTCTCACTAAGTCTTGTATGTTCAGTTTTAGTGTTAGACTGCCTTCTTGCTTCTGTCGAGTGGAACCACATGACACCAGTAAAGAATAATTACCCTGCCTTCTCGGATAGTCTTCCATTTTATCCTTACCCATAGTAACTACAGTAAGAAAAAATCTTCATCTAAGGAAATTTGATAGTTCTGACAATAAAAGAAAAGCATTTCCTTCTTATCAGAATGATTTTTTTTTAAGTTATTGTTTTTTTTTGTTTTTTTTTTTTTTTTTTTTTTTTTTTTGTTTATTTATTTATTTTTTTTAATTGGTTGTTCAAAACATTACAAAGCTCATGACATATCATCTTCCATACATTTGATTCAAGTGGGTTATGAACTCCCATTTTTTACCCCAAATACAAGTTGCAGAATCACATCGGTTACACATCCACATTTTTACATAATACCATATTAATGACTATTGTATTCTGCTACCTTTCCTATCCCCTACTATCCCCCCTCCCCTTCCCTCTCATCTTCCCTCTCTACCCCATCTGCTGTTGTTTAATTCTCTCCCTTGTTTTTTAGAGCAGATTATGCTAAGTGAAGCTAGCCAATCCTTAAAAAACAAATGCCAAATGTCTTCTTTGATATAAAGAGAGCAACTAAGATCAGAACAGGGAAGAAGAGCATGAGGAAAAGATTAACATTAAACAGAGACAAGTGGGGGGAGAGAAAGGGAGAGAGAAGGGAAACTATGGAAATGGAAGGAGACCCTCATTGTTACACAAAATTACATATAAGAGTTTGTGAGGGGAAAGGGGAAAAAAAACAAGGGAGAGAATTATCATAATGATTTAAAAAATGATTCTTGCAGGGCTGGGGTTGTGGTTGGTTCAGTGGAGAGCGCTTGCCTAGCATGTGAGGCACTGGGTTTGATCCTTAGCACCACATAAAAATAAATAAATAAAAATTTAGGAAAATGATTCTTGGTCCCTTAAACCTGAAGAATTTCTGGAAATTAGGAAGTTTTTCCTTTATGTCTTTTAAAATATTGCCTTCTAAGCCTCTCCGGGTATATGTGTGTGTGTGTGTGTGTGTGTGTGTGTGTGTGTGTGTTTAAACTGGAAAAGGTGAAGACTGAAGACTAATCAGTTTAACAGCCCCTTTACTGCAATCCTTGCCCAAATTGTAGGATGAGTCTTTTTATCTTTCCAGATGCATACATATTTCAAATTTATTACTTCAAATGGGGGGTTTTGGCAAAATGCCTTAGACATTTGGTCAGAGTTTCTTCTGACAGTCAATATCCAAATGCTGTACTTGACATTTTCTTATTAAATTAGAAAGTCTATTTACTATTCACTGAAAATAATTTATAACCATAATGTCTGATAGGTGAATAAATTCTTTTAGGTAATTACTTATGTATTTATTCCAAATTCATTGTCCAGAACGGTATACCCAGTAAAATAAAGGTTGAATGAATGAAATTCCTTAGATATTGATAAAAAGAATTTATTATAGGATTAAATATCTTAAGATCTAAAACTTACCAGCAAGAATCTATTATTTTATATCATCACTATTAAGCAAACTTATTATGGAAAATTTTTTTTTTACAAATTTGGGAAGTGACAAACTGTAGCTCAAGTTGTAATTTACATTTTTGGGGTTGCTACTAAGGTTAATTTTTTTAAAGAATATTAGCCATCTAGATTTCATCATATGTATTGGTTCATATCTCTTGTCCATTTTTCTCTAGTGTGTTTTCTTATCTATTTTATGAACATTTTACTTATTACTTAACATATTAAACCCTTTGTTAGATATGTTAATGATTTTCCCAATTTGGTATTTCTTTAATTTCAATTTTTTATATTGTTGAATCTACTTCCCCATAAAGAGGTACATAAATATTTTCTAGGGTTTCTTTTCCTTTCTACCTGCTAATTGTGCCTTTAATTCTGTTTTTCTTTTAGGGAGTTTTTAATTGCTTTGTGGATATTGACATAAGAATGGGTATGGGTATTAGGAGGATATAAATCTGTCTCTTGTTCATTGTATGTGCTTGTTATTCTTGTTTTGATGGGCTTCTTTTTAAAAAAATTGTTTTGTAGGTGTAGATGAACAGAATGCCTTTGTTTTGTTTTCTTTTTATGTAGTGCTGAGGATTGAACCCAGTGCCTCATGGCATGCGCTCTGCCACTGAGCTACAACCCCAGTCCTGATGGGCTTATTTTTGTTGTTTGATTTGGCTTGTTTTTTCTCAAAATTTTTGTTCCAATATTCTTAAATTTTATAAATCACAAAAATTGGTTTCTTTAATGTTAGGAATTTTTTAGTAACTTCTTTAATGACTTCTTTTAAATGACTTTAATGCAATTCATCTGTACATAATTCCTGTTAATTGGATATTGGATCACTCATGTATTAGACCTCCAGTTTTCATATTATTCTTTTTCTCCCAATTTTCTATCCATTTTATCATTACAACATATCTTCTGAAAAATTTCCCCTTTTTCATCTTCTAAACCTCCTATTTGTTTTTTTTCATTTCTCTCATCAAAATTTAAATTTCCAAAATTTAAATCATTTCTGTTCCCTTGTTTTTGTTTTGTTTTTTATATTTAGATTACCTTTGTTTTCTTTCTTATTGTCTTGTTCTTGTTTTATGGATGTATTTCTTCTATTCCTTTGAAAATACTAAAATATCAGTGGTTTTTGAAGTTTTATTTTGTTCTCTTATATGGTGTGTTTCTTTGACATTGCTTTTTGTCCTTTTTTATAATTTTGGGTCTTTATCTTTCACATTTAAGGCTGTCCTCAAAGGTCCTCAAAATGTCCTTAATAGTTGCTTCATATAAAAGCAAACTCAAGAAACCTGAGCATGGGGACAGGTTTGAGGATCATGCTTCCTGCCTGGCGACCTGGCTGTTTTCTGGGTGAAGCTTGATGCTACTCCCTCCAGGGCTAGTCAGATTCCATGTGAAGGATCCTTTGACTTTTCTCCTCAAGGCAAC